ACACATTGAAATGACATCGCCAAGTTTCTAGGCGATCACATTGGTAGAGAAAATAGCTTTAGTGATATCACACACATGAAGTGAAAATAATTTTGAAATGTTGATTTAATGGTGTTTTTCTCTAACAAAAAATAAAACATATGAAACAAACCAAAACCTCATTTGCTCTCTGTAATATCAACCCCATTTTGTGATGGTCCCTGTATATCACTAAATTCTAGGAAAACCATTCTTTAAAATTTTTCATTTACTTTTTAGAGAGAAGGGCAGCGGGGAGGGAAAAACGTGGAAGAAAAATGTCCCTCAGTTGCATCTGGCAGAAGCCCCATTCAGGGATGGAATCCGCAACCGAGGCACATGCCATGACCAGGAATGGAACTGGCTAACTTTCACTCTGTGGGACGACACCAAAAAAACTGAGCCACACCAGTTGGTCTAGAAGCCGTTCAAATCCCTGAACAGGGTATATAAACATTTTGTGATCTATAAAATAAGTGACATGAGGTAAGCTTTCCAGGAAACCCAGAAAGTAAAGAAAAAATTGCAATGTGAGATTCTCAAAACGAGCGCGAGGGTCCTGAAATTTGGACAAAGTATATGTCAACAAATGTAACTTACAGTGAAGGGTTAACCTTAGAAATCTGTAAGATTTATGGTTGACTCGGAACTCACCACATGTTTAAATTATGTACTTCGTCCATTATATCTTTAACCTTCTTAAAGTATGCACGCGCACACACACACATTTCTACCTCAGTCCCCTATGGCTACATTATAAGTTACTGCACGTAAATACTGTATCCGTTGTGTAACAAACTATGTAAACCCACTGAAGCAGGCTCAGGAAAAAGATGTGCAGAAAAATATATAAGCTCAAGTGTTAGTAAGAACTCTGAAATTACACTGGTTTGCACTCTTCAAATTTAGCATTCGTTAAGCAGAGCACCCTAGTACTGAATAGTGAGCAGCAGTTCTACAAAAAGACCATGAGACAAATTGAAACAGAGAACTTGATTACCCTCAGACTCTGGGAGAAATACACAGCAGGCCTGGAGGGGCACCACGTGGAGGACAAGGCAGGATGCTGGCACACAGGAGAAGACCCCGGGACACATGATTTTATTGAGGTTCATGTGCAGAGATCTTTGGGGTTCTCAAGCTAAGCTTAGATTGTTCAAAAGAAACCAAAAACAACAAGATCTTGGTAAGGTGTGCAGAGATATCATCTCATGGCCACACATGGGGAAAGGCCTGAGGTAGGAAGAAGACCGTTGCTCAGGGCAGCTGCCAGTAGGTCATGTCAAGAGGGTACATGAACTGTGGCTCTGGAAGATGTTGTCTACTGTGTGAAATTGCAGAACATAGCAGCAGTTTGAGGCTCCTACTTGCAGAAAATAAATGCCATGACAGCTGATCTCTTAAAAGAAACGCATAGTGCCTACTGTAATTATCGTCATGTTCCAGTAGCTACAACAAAAATATATCAATAGTAGACAATTTTTTACATTATTTAATGTCACCGGGGAAGGAACTGCTAATGCTGTAATTACACTGTATTACCAAACCTGAGTAACATTAATGATGTAAACACCTTCCAGTACATTCACCTTTCTTATTAAACAAATATATATTTGCGCATCACCTACATAAAGCAGCACAATCCAATTGTGTTACCATTTGTAAAAACACACGCATTGCAGTCGTTTAGGAAGTGTCACTGCTCTTGTGATATAATGATCCCATACTGCAGTTCTTTTGCTTTTGTAAATGGAGGCTAATCTTTCAGCAAACATGGATGTACAACAATGTTATGCACTGAGGGATGAACTGTTCACATTTCCTCACGTATCGCTGGTTACTCTTTTATTCCAATCACATCAACTAGTATTCATCACTTCTACCTATGACAACTACGAAGATTCAGCAGGATTTTAATAAGCTGACATTGTCTTGAATGGGTGGTTTAGGAAAGTAGTTAAAATTTATGACATTTTTACGCCTTACTATAATGCCTAATAGGATGCTTTCCGTGGTAACATACAACAAAATTCTGAGTAACCACAAAACAGCAACTTCATTCAGATATTTTCATACGTCGTGCACTATAATGTCCTCAATCTTCCTTGGAAATGTAGTCATGACTGAGGCTCACCTAATGTCCGAGAGTGCATATACTGTTAAGGAACCAACAATCAACCCACTGATTTCACACACACCAGGAATAGAAACATAGCAGCACCAACTGATAAGAGACGAGAATCCATTTATTATTTCCTTCTTAAAATATTTCAAATGCTGAAAATACACAAGAGTTTATATTGAGTAACTATACATAGCCAGACATCCATCGCCGACATCGTGAAGCACACCAAAAAAGTAATGATTGATGTTTTTAAACCTTGGACGATTCTCTATAGTAAATTCTCTGATTTTTCAATACCTGAAAACTATTATTAACTTTCTGCTGTGAATTAGGATAGTTTGAAGCTCTTTTTCAATTACATACTTTCCTAAGTTTACATCTTTGGGAACTGTGCATTTTGACAAGTCATTCATTCTTTATGGCTGCAGAATTCCACCTGTATGTGCAGTCCCTGATATATAATGAGGCTGTAGGTCCACCTTTATGATTTTCTACGATCTCCCTTTTAATTAATGGCTTTTTTATACTGTGATTTCTCACATGTCCAATGAGGTGTGCATGTTGAAAAAAGCCCTTTAAAATGTTGAGCAGTTTTGAACATAGGTTAAAGGCTTTGCCACAACCTCTACATCTGTACAGTTTTTCTACAGATGGATGTCTCTCAGGTTGGGTAAGACAGCTCTAAAGATTAAAAGCCTTGTTATATGCCCTACTTCTACATGGTTTCTCTCCTGCATGAATGACCTGATGTCAAAAAGTTTTGCCACATAGTCCACATTTATAAGCCTTCTCCCCAGCATGAAATCTCTGTAGTAAGGGTTGGAAGTGGCTAAAGGCTTTTCCCATCGTGTACATTTATACTCTCCAGTATAAATATTTTTAGGATAAATAAGCACTGAGGACTGGTTATTTCCTTTACCACATTTGGTACATGTATAAGGCAGCCCTTCAGTATGTTATTTGATTTTGGGTAAGGTTCGATGAATGTCCAAAAGCTTTATCACCTGCTTATCATCTATAAGGCTTCTCTCCTATATGCATTTTCTGATGTCAAGAAGGGTTACAGGAGTGGCTCATTTTTACCACATTGTGTACATCATAAAGGCTTCTCTCCAGTATGAAGTGTCTTATGCTTAGGAAGGTCTGAGGAGGACATAAAGGCTTTGTCACACTGTGGACATTCATAAGGCTTCTCCCCAGTATGAACTTTTTGGTGATGAATAAGGTTTGAGGAGTGCATACAGGCTTTGCAGCATTCTGTACATTTATAGGGTTTCTCTCCAGTATGCACTTCCTGATGTCTGCAAAGGTGAGAGGACTGGGTAAAGGCTTCGGCACATTGTGTACATACATTCAGCTTTATTCCAGGATGAAATCTCTAATTAGTAACGTGTGAGGGGTAGCTAAATGCTTTGCCACAGTATTTTTCTTTTTCTATCTTCTTCCTGAAGTGGTTAGCTTTGTCTCTTACTCTGACTTAGATTCTATGTAACTGCACTCTCCCATTACCCTGCCTTCACTCTTGCTCCATTACTTTTGGTTATGGCAAATTCTGCATTCCATGGCCACAGCTGATGCCACTTTCTTTGGCTTTTCCCTAGTAACTGCTGGCTTTCTGGTTGTGAGAGGTGTGTACAAGCAGAAAGGGGAAGCTTTGTATACAGTGAATGACAGAGGTGGTGAGTCAGGGTGTGCTCAGATGTTTTACTCCAGCACATATCCATTTGCCCAACGAATGTCTAAAATTAAGTACACCCTTTGTTATTAAGTAATGACTTATTTTATGAAGTCCTTTTTTCCCTAAGAGAAGTTTTAACTTTAATTACTAATATTATTTCTTTGAAATGAATAAATTGATGAAAGAGCATTTACCTCTTCCTTCCCTCAATTATGTTACAAAATAAAACAGTAACTAAGAAATAATGGTTCAATGCTACAACTTCTTTCTAACCCCAGGTTCTCTCTGACCAGAGGGAATTTTAGATCTTCCTGTCATACCTGTTCATGTGAATCAGGGACCCTTCAGGAAAGCAAATGAAGTGGGTTAACTGAAAGGCAATAGGGAGGGATAGGAATGCATCCAAAGGAGAGTATATGTTCTGCAGACAAAAACAAAAACATAACAAATAAACAATAGTACCACCCTAAACCCTCTCCTCAACAACAAACTTTTGTGCACACCAAACTGAATTTCTCTCTCTACTATCAGTTAGTGACCAGACTTAGCACTAGAATATAAATCAGGCATGTATTTTTTTTCTCTAGTACTTACACAGTTACATGTTTTTATATTTATATATCTGCTCCATATGGACGTCTTCACAATATATTGTGTAATCCATAAATGCAATAGTTATCTTCTTGCTTGTTACAATACTGTTAAGACTTCTATTTTTTCACCAGTGATGTGAGAGGTCACATTTGTCATATATAAAATTCTGTAGGCACTTCAGTGTATAGCTCTACTTTCTACTCAGTTCCACTGGTAATTAAGACTTCATCATATATTTTATGATAAAACAAACTTTATCATATTTGTACTCTATGAAAGGGTTACCTTTCCCTCTTTCATTTCTATCCATTTTCAAGTCTTTCCCATTCACTTATTTGTCCATATAAAAATCAAAATTAATGTACCTCGTTAGGAAAACCAGTTGACATTAGACATATATAAACTTACCAAGAAATGACGTATTTTGAGGTTGAGTGTGAACCAGTGTGAGAACAGAAAGACTGGGAAATGCTGATACAGGGCAATTTCAACCTACTGACGGGCCCTACTTTACAGACCTCCACCAGGTGCTCACAAGAAAGTTGGGAGCCAGATGGGAAATAGAAGAAAGCCTGTGTTGGGGTAGAGACCTGGAGAAGAGGCTCTGGCACATTATTTACATTCATAAGGCTTCCTTCCAGTATGAATTTTCTGATGATTATAAAGGTTTGAGGACCAGCTAAAGGCTTTGCCGTATTGTTTACATTCATAAGGTTTCTCTCCAGTATGAATTCTCTGATGTTCTGTTAGGAGTGAGGAGCCGATAAAGACTTTGCCACACTGTATACATTCATACGGCTTCTCTCTGGTGTGAATTCTCTGACAGACAGTAAGGGATGAGGGGAGGTGAAATGCTTTGCCACATTGTTTACATTCATAAAGCTTCCCTCCAGTATGAATTCTCTGAAAGACAGTAAAATGTAACGGGTACCTAAAGGATTTGCTGCATTGTGTGCATTCATATGGCTTCTCTCCCCTTTGAACTCTCTGATGTCAAATAAGGTTTGAGGAGCTGGTAAATGCTTTGCCGCATTGTTTACATTCATAAGGCTTCTCTCCAGAATGAATTCTCCGGTGCAACCTAAAGGAAGTGGAGTGGGTAAATGCTTTGCCACATTGTGTATATTTATAGGGTTTTATACCAGTATGAACTCTCTGAAGTCCACTAAGGTTTGAGGAGCAGGTAAATGCTTTGCCACATTGTTTACATTCATAAGGCTTCTCTCCCGTATGATATTCTGGTGCTTCCGAAAGGAAGACGATCGGATAAATGCTTTGCCACATTGAGTACATTTATACGGTTTAACACCAGTATGAACTCTCTGATGTCCACTAAGGTTTGAGGAGCAGGTAAATGCTTTGCCACATTGTTCACATTCATAATGCTTCTCTCCGATATGAATTCTGTGATGGACAGTAAGGTGTGAGGAGCAGCGAAAAAACCTGGTGCATTATGTACATTCATTCATACGGCTTCTTTCGCGAAGAAATTCTCTGATGGACAGTAAGGGATGAGCAGAAGTTAAATGCTTTGCCACACTGCTTACATTAATAATGCTTCTCTCCACTACGAATTCTCTGATGCATCGAAAAGGAATGAGAGGGTAAATGCTTTGCTGCACTGTATACATTTATAAGGGTTCTCTCCTGTATGAATTTTCTGGTGCTTTCAAATGTGTGGGGACCACCTAAAAGCTTTGTCACACTGTGTACATTCTTAAGGCTTCTCTCCAGCATGAGTTGTCTGATGATAAGAGTTGAGGAGCATCGAAAGAATCTGCAGCATTCTGTGTACTTATAGGGCTCCTCTCCAGTGTGAATTTTCTGATGGTGAGAAAGAACTGAGAACTGGCAAAAGGTTTTGTCACATTTTTTACATATACGTCTTTTCACCAGAATGGACCCTCTGATGTTGAGTAAGGACTGAGGAGAGTGTAAATGCTTCTCCACATTGTGTGCATTTATAGGGTTTTGCATGGGTATGAACGCTCTGATGTCGAGTAAGGTGTGAGGAGCGGGTATATGCTTTGCCACATTGGTTACATTCGTAAGACTTCTCTCCAGTATGAATTCTCTTATGGACAGTAAGGCCTGAGGAGCAGCTAAAGGATTTGCTGCATTGTGTACATACGTAAGGCTTCTCTCTGGTATGAATTCTCTCATGTCGAATAAGGTTTGAGGAGCGGGTAAATGCTTTGCCACATTGTTTACATTCAAGAGACACCTCTCCAGAATGAATTCTCTGGTGCATATGAAAGTAAGAGGAGTCAGTAAATGCTTTGTTGCATTGTATACAGTTATAAAGCTCTCCTGTATGAATTTTCTGATGCTTGTTAAGGTGTGAGGACGACCGAAATGCTTTGCCACACTCTGTACATTCATAAGGCTTCTCTCCAGTATGAATTCTCTGATGGATAGAAAGGTGTGAGGGGTAGCTAAAGCATTTGCTGCATTGTCTACATTCATATGGCTTCTCTCCGGTATGAATTTTCCGATGGTTAATAAGGGACGAGGAAAGGCGAAATGCTTTGCCACATTGTTTACATTCATAAGGCTTCTCTCCAGTATGAATTCTCTGATGGACAGTAAGCCGTGAGGCTTCGCTAAAGGATTTGCAGCACTGTCTACATTCATAAGGCTTCTCTCCGGTATGAATTCTCTCATGGACAGTAAGGCGTGAGGATTGGGTAAATGCTTTGCCACACTGTTTACATTCATAAGGCTTCTCTCCAGTATGAATTCTCTGATGTACAGTAAGGTTTGAGGAGCACCTAAAGGATTTGCTGCATTGTCTACATTCATAGGGCTTCTCTCCGGTATGAATTCTCTGATGGACAGTAAGGCATGAGGAGTCACTAAAGGATTTGCAGCACTGTCTACATTCATAAGGCTTCTCTCCGGTATGAATTCTCTGATGAAGAGTAAGGTGTGAGTAGCGGGTAAACGCTTTGCCACATTGTGTACATTTATATGGTTTTACACCGGTATGAGCTCTCTGATGTTGAGTAAGGGTTGAGGACAGTGGAAATGCTTTGCTACATTGTTTACATTTACAAGGATTCTTTCTGGTATGAATTTTCTGATGGTGAGTAAGGGTTGAAGAGCGTCCAGAGGCTTGGTAGCATTCTGTACCTATATTGGGCTTCTTTCCAGCATGAATTTTCTGATGATGATAAAGGACTGAGAACTGGCAAAAGGTTTTATCACATTCCTTACATATACAAGGCTTTTCACCAGCACGGAGTCTCTGATGTCGGGTAAGGGTTGAGGAGTCTGTACATATTTTGCCACATTGTGTACATGTGGAAGGCTTCGTTCTGGTAGGAATTGTCTGATGAGTAGTAATGGTTGAGGACCGCCTAAAGGCCTTATCATATTCTCTACAAATAGAAGTCTTCTCACCAGAATGAATACACTGATGCTCAGCAAGATTATAGGACTCCGTGAAGACACTGCCACATTGTCTACACTGAAAAGGTTTCTCTCCTCTATCAGTTTTCTGATATTCTTTAATATTTGTGGGCGGACTAAAAGCTTCAGCACATTCTCTACCTTTAAAAAGCCTGTCTCCAGTGTGCGTTCTCTGATGTTTACGAAGAGGTGAGGTAATCCAAAATGCTACGCCACATTCTTTACAAATACAGGCCTTCTGTCCAGCATCATGTTTTTCATGTACAGTTACACTTGAAAACCAATTACCTGTTTTATTACCTTCTTCACATTTATGTTCTTCTCCGGTACAGATGTTGATAAGCGCATTTAGATTAAATATTTGAGTGAAGAATTCCCTGCATGGTAAATATTTGTGAGCTTCCTCCCCGAGAGGCATATTTTTTTCTTCAGTACTATTTGAAGACTGCTTCCAACATTTGACGTATTTACTTTGCTTGTCCGTCTTCTCCACAATAGGAAAAACTTGATGTGTACCGTGATTTGACATTTGGTCAAAGACTTTTCCACTTTCATAATGGCTGCCTGGAAGCTGACTCTTTTCATCGATCTTAGGATTTGACTCGTGGGCAAAATTCCTCCAATGTTCACGGCATTGATAACTTCTGTGCTCATTATACGGGCTCTGGTGATCATTGAAGATAGAAAGGCCTTTAGTGACATCCATCATTTCACTAAACATGTACACTTATTCCCAAATGACCACTCTGTGATCCCTACCGAACCATGTTGGCTGTATTACAAATTGCTCTCACGTTCATGACAATGTTATACAGTGGGAGGAAAGGAAACATTATTTCTCAAAATTATAATAATAACCTTAAAAAGGGGGCTGTCATATCAGTAACACTCAAGCTTTCTATGTACATTATAAATCATTAAATTTTACAACCTGCAAATTTGTTCTTACTCCACATTTTAAACAATTCAAATGATCATTCACAGCCCAAGTTAGGAGAGTTCCTAGATTTTCCAGAATGCCTTCAGAAGAATATATACACTTAGAAAAATGTTTTCAGTGTTCGCGTCTGGAAACACATTGACCCGCAAACCTAACTGACTTACGGTGGGTGTTTTCCCAAATTTGCACTATTTTTCACCTCTTTAGGTAACAGGGCTTTTATCAGGAATAACTATCGCAAGATAGTTCTCTGCACTTTGACATCCTGCTTTTCCTGTCACACACTGCCTTCTCAGGATCAAAGGCACACCTCTCATAGCTTACCGGTGTTGCTTTAAAGAACAGATCTTCTATTCCTGGCCTTTGCAAGAAGGCCTGGTTGTCTTCAGATGACACAGCTGAAAGATACAGAATAAAGGTTCACAGGTATGACACGCAGCTTGACGTACATTGAACTTACAAGCAATTTTTAAACACATTACACTGTTGAGTACTTCAAAAGAATTTAAATGTTTGCAGCAAGACCAAGTACAGAACAATGAGAAAAATGTCACATAGAAGAACAACAGTTGCTTACACTGGGCAACCATTGTGCTCAAAGCCCCGGCACGCAACAGCAGTATTATCAGAAAACTCCCCATTCCCAGTTTTTTCCTAGGCAGATAGAGGGTACAGCGTGTTTGGTGATGTTTTCCTGCATCTTCAAAATGCGTGTTTCTCTTACATGACGCAGAGCGTTCATACCGCAACAGCACATGGTGAATGGACTGTAGTGCACACTAGAAAGAAAGGGTAATTGTTCAAACGCCACCGAAACTACTGCACTGAAGACTGGTATCAAGCATAAAAAGATATCATGGGCTTTGGAAAAGCAACAGAAACTATATCAAACTTGAAACTTACACACAAAAACAAATACACATCCCCAACGTTTATGGAAATTAGAATTTAAACTAGGGATGATTGTTATTTTTTTCTTTTAGCCTGTAGAAACAAGTTCATAAAGCCTAGTTGTTTACAATTCTGATCCTCAATAAATCGGCGAAGACAAAGAAACAGAAAGTCAATGTCAAATCAGACAACTAAAATGTATTTACAAAAACCAACACATCAACTGAAATACATTAATTACCTCATAAGGAATTGAAAATAACCACCTTAAAATAGAAACGCAGAAAAACATGGCAAGTACTTAATATCAGCCAAGCTGTGAATGACCAAAATGAAAATGCAGAGAGAGAGAAAACAAAAAATGAGCCAAACAGAAATGGGAAACTGGAAAACACAACACTCAAATTTAAAAATACAGTGAAGGCTTCTAAAAAAGATGAGAGCAAGCTGATGAATGTAAAAATGTATGCAGAATCCATTACAAATGTCAACACAGGAAAGCCAACTAAAATGTGGAGACGTGAAGACAGCTAAAGGAACTCACGGGACCCTAACAAATGGGCCGCTTTCCACAGTAAGTGGGCCCCGGAATAACAAGACAGTGAAAATGGATACATACCTAACACCTAACATGAGGCATTCATAGTTTTAGTTTCTGACACATAAATTCTAGCCGCTCACTAAATTCCAGGTAAGGTAAATGTAAAATACTGAACAAAAAGAAATATGATAATCGAAGTATCATGAATCCCACACAGCAACTATCCTGAAAGATTAAAAGAAAATAACTTGTCACGGAAAAAGACACCTTCTCAAAGACTTCCTCTCAGTGTCTTCCTCAGCAGAAACCATAAAAAGAAGTACATGAAATAAAATACTGAACTAATCAAGCAACAAAAACTATTAACCAAGAATACTATTTCTGACAAAACAGATCAGCAACAGTGGAACAGGCAGACATTTCCAGCTCAAAAACACTGAAGACTTTCTCACCTTTAAACCTGCCCTATGAAAAAGGAATAAGAAAATCATTCCAGGTGTCATAAACAAAATTCTAAACAACAATAAAGCATATAAAGATATAAAAGTTATACATGTAAATGTATACAAATATAAAAATCCTAAGTCGTCTAATGAGCTCACAGAAATCACTTGGATTTCTCCTATAGAACTTCGACAAACACAAGCAATAAAATTTTACATATACCTTATAAGATACACAATACAAAAAATATGTGATATGAATAACAGAAGGAGGTAGACGGATAGGGATGGAAAGCAGTAGTTTTTTTCTATGTAACCGATGCTATCAGATCACAGTATACTGTCAGAACTTTAAAATGTTTTTAGTACTTGCACCAAGGCAACAACAAAGATAAAAAAAAAAAAAAGAAAGAAAAGGATACTGTCAACAGCTGACAACACTGTGCACAGCAAAATCATACAGAACACACGTTTAAAAAAAGAAGACAAATCAAATTTTTCAAAAGCAAGAATATAAAATCAACCCATGAAGTTCTTTCTGCACAGTAACAGAAATTAATACAAAAAAAAAACCCCAACAAGATAAAAAGTAATTACCTAATCAATGGCATAAAGCAAAATAAAATATTTAGGACTCCGTTCATGAAAAACGCACAGGACATTTATGATAAAAGTATAAAATATTGGTGCTTGTATTTTTAAAAATGAGTAAATGAAAAATTTAGTTTTCTTCTCTGGCTGCTCGAAGTCCTGCCAGCATCACCAATGACCCAATAACTATCCTGACCAGAAATTTATCACCAACAGATTACACTGACAGAAAAAATGGCCATTATTGTCCTTCACCCTGACAAAGCATCAGTGCACAAGTCCAAAATTTAAGAAAATCTAGCCAAAACGTGTAAGACCACACAAGATGTCAGTTTTGTATTTGAGTACAGAACCCATGTTGGTGGTAGTGAGACAACTGGCTTTGTCATGAGTTACAATGCCCTCACACACATTACACACATCACACACACACCACACCCCCACACCCCCAAACATAGACTCGCGGGACATGGCTTATATGAGAAGACCAAAAAAAACAGAGATAGAACACAAGAACACAATGAGGAAAGAATGGGGTTTCCCGATGTCAATGTTAGTGCTGCCGAACAAAAAATCAAACCAAAAAAAACTAAACAAAAAACTGGAGAAAAGAACCTTAAGTGACTTTATTATTGGTGGTGGTTATGCAGATTTTTCGCGAGAGGATTAATGAAGTAAGAACTTTCAATATCTCACCTCATGATCCTAAACTGGAATGTTAATTGTGTAAGCCATCAGTAGTACCCAAGGTGATCTAAACATTCAAAGCATCCCTATACGTCTCTGAAAAACACTTTCAGCAAATATAGAACCGTTCACTCTAAAAGAAATATGGGCCCTGTCTGGTATGCCTCAGTTGGCTGGTGATCATCAACCCAAAGCGAAAGGTTGTCAGTTCAGATACGGCTCTGCCAGGAAACAGAGAAGACGTGATCACCTGATACCACAAAGAGAAACGCTGCGCACGTGTTCTAAGTGAAGCACATAAGTCACAGAGACACATGCTATAGGATTCCACTTAGGTGAGTTCTAGTGAAGTGCACCCGAGAGAAAAAGAATGCAGCTACCTGGGCCTTGGCTTTAGGGCAAAGGAGAAAGTGGTTGTTTAACGGATACGGTGATATTTCTGCGAGATGGAAGTTTTCAGAATTCTGATGCACAATTCAGCAAGTATACTTAATATGCTTTCACTGAACAGTTACGGACAGTTCAGATGGTAGATTTTTATTCACATGGTTTTTCATCAAATGTCAAAACCAAAAATACTATCTGAAAGACACAGTTTTAAAACTTTGCAAAAATTTCATTCCATTTAGAGAAGTTTTTATCTGACATAAAGAGAATATAAATTCAGTCATGGACAGATATAAAATTGAGACTATTTCTGTAACTCACAGGACCAAACAACCGTTTACCATTAGCCCAGCACAGAAAAGAAGCAAGGTAAGTCATGAACAGTGTAGGGTAAAAAAACGGACAAAATGTGCGCTTTCGTTTAATGGCAGTTGACTTATGACTGGTTCATATTTGAATTAAGCCCCACAATGTCTTAAGTACTGATCTTAAAACTATCATTTACTTTCGTAATATATAAATAAAAACTAAAAAGTCAATCAACGAAGTTTGGAGAACCTATCATAGAAAAGGAATCACACTGGAAAATCAGTGGGAATTGTAGCTAAGACTGAGGGATGATACAAAGAAATAGTATAGCAAGCCATGAAAGAAACCTAAATTCACAGAAGAGAAAGAATTTAATCTGCCTGACCACCTGCTCGGATATAACAAGGTTGCAGGTTATATACCCCCCCAACAGTATGCCGGAGTGCAAGTCTTTCCCTTAAAGGGCCCGTACACAGACTCACTCGGACTCACCAGCTCTGGCCTCCAGCCTTGGGACAGCAGATTGAAAGGTGCTAGGGACATTCACGGAGGGACTCAACTGTCTGGCTTCAGGGCTGAGGCTGGAGGGGCCGCTTTCTCCCCCACACAAGTCTTGTCTGAGGCCAATATTCCCTTGCTGAGCCCTCCACATCATACAGCGAGAAGGCAGGTGTCACATCTGTCTCTACCGACCTGGCTAATGCTATAGCCCTGTCCTGCTGATTCGCGCACACCTGCCCCGCTCACCTTGAGAATCCGCCCAAGCCACATCCAGTGGCTTTTCCATACAAATGGCCCCTCTTGCCTCATGGTTCAGACTCTCCTCAATCTCTCAAACAAGCTGGATCTGGCCCCTGCGTGCCCCACAGGCCTCGACCCAGTGGCCCAGGCCCCGCACTCCCTGCAGATGCCCTTGGATCACATCTTGGCCTCTCCTGGGGAACGCCAGGCCCGTCACAGGTAGAAGCCACCTGCGTATCGCTCCCTTTTGGTTGCCAAGTGGCCCCGGGCAGTTCGTAGGTGGTGGCTGACCATGCATCTCCAGCCAAAGTCCAGGGCCAGTGTAGCAAGTGAACAGGTCAAGGCCGTGTCAGATTACAACCCCACCACTTCTACAAGCGACACACTCAGGCGGCGGACTCGGTGAGCACCAAAGCCCCACTGAACATTTAACTAAACAGGAAGTGTCTAATACTGCTGTAACTAAATTCTTGCTGAAGGAGAACATTCGAGCATGTCGTCTCAACACTGCTGAATCCAAAAGCAGAGGTGTGACAAAGATCTATCTGAAAGTGAAAACACACAGGACACAATCCTGGGCAGCTTTGGACGGAAGAAGAGAGAGTAACAAAATGACAGCGATGAAGTCAGGTAATAAAAGAGACTTTCCCGTGTCGTGAACAATGTTCTAAGGTCACCTCTAGCAGTGCTGTACTGAACAACTCTATGAGGGCAATAGACAAACTAAACTATTCTAAAACTAAGAAAATGGAGGATATAAAGTGGAAATTTCACCCTGGCTGGTGTGACTCAGTGCATTGAATGCCAGCCAGGGAAACGAAGGGTTGCCGGTTTGATTCTCGGTCAGGGCTCATGCCTGGCTTGCAGGCTTTGTCCTCAGTTGAGGGCACACAAGCAGCAGCCACCGCACACTGATGTTTTTCTCCCTCTCTTCCTCCCTCCCCTTCCTGCTCTCTAAAAATAAATACAAATATTAAAAAAAAAAAATTTAAACTGGAAATTTCTTATGTTACTTTGTACAAAGCACAAGGTCACTTCGAAGTGAGACAGAAAATTAAATTGTCTCATTTTGGAGGTGCCTTGTGCTGTGATAAAATCGCTGAGACTAAAAACCGTGGGGTCGTGCTTGAAGCCTCCAAAGGGTTAGAAATTATAAGCCAGAAAACATGACACCTGTCCCTAGGGTTCCTGGAACTTCTGCCACAAATTCCAGGATCTCAACCACTTTCTTCACAAATTCCGTTCATGGGACAAAAAGAAAACTTTCAAAAAAAGGGGGCGGGGACTTAATGTACAATTTCTCAGCAACACGCAGAGATTCTCCCAAGTCCCCAAAGCAACAGAAGAGGAGCCAGACAAAGGTGGTCCTCAGAGTGCAAGGGGAGGACTTTGGCCCTAACTGCTAGTAAGATGACAGCCGTCACTGGAGTAAAAACCAAGTTCTAAATGCATGTAGGAGCTGGCCCTCTATGACAAACTGCGTGAGACCAGCGGGCCCTGTATGGTAACAACAGAAATAAACCTGGGCTTTTCAAAATCCTTCCATGGAAGCACAGCTTTCCAAACCACACTTTAAGGTCTGGCTTCCTCCATGACCTTGGGGACCCTCGCCTGCATCACCTGCTTCCCAAATCCCACCTACCTGGGCGGGCGGACATTGACTTTTTTCTGTGCACATCCCCAGGCTCCTTCATTTGCTCCAGAAGGCTGATCAGGACCGGGTATGAGACAACAAGACCTGTTCATAAAATAAACTTTATTTTCGTAAGGATTCCACATTTCCAACCCACTTTTTCTGATCTGGTAAGAAGACTGGTAGAAAATTAAAATATGCAAGAAGATGATTTTCCAAAATACTGTTTTCTGATAGCGCTTTAACTAGTCTAACTACGTGTACACTTTTCAGTGAGTTCCTAATGACCATAGTTCTTGAAGCCTTTATCTTCTACGCAAGGTAACCTCCCGATTCTCCCTTGCGAGCAAGAATCTGACAGTCTCCCGTACAAAGTAGACTCCCCAAGAGATGTTAAATAAAGAAAACGAAACCCGGTGGGTGCAGCAGGAACTCTGAAGGCAGTCATCCTCACCCAGGGAGACCAGGTTCCTGTAGTTCTCCACCATCACGTCCAAGTACAATTTCCGCTGAGCTGAGTCCAGGCACTCCCACTCCTCCCCAGAGAAATCTACTGACACGTCCTTGAAGGTCAAGGATGGCTGCAGAGAGACAAGAGACACATTTACCAAGGAGACACCAGCAGAGTTCTTAGTCTGAGGTCTAACATCAAATCTGTTAGAAGTAGTTTTGACTGAAGAGGTATCCTGCATCATTCAGTCACATCATGTTCACACTGTTAACACTAATGTATCATCTAACACTGAGAAAGGAGATTAACACAGGTCCACAAATCCACTGCCCGGACATTCCTTTTCAGGAAAATAAACTTTACCTTTCAAATATCTTTTAAATTGTTGTTCAAGTATAGTTTTGTCCATTTCACCCTCTCCCATCCCTCCCATCCCCACCTCCCACCCCTTGGTCCTTCCCCCTTTGTCTGTCTATATGTCTTTTATACATGTTCCTTGATTACTCTTCCCCCTTTGCCCTCTGACATGCCCTCCCTTCTCTCTTCTGGTTACTGTCAGACATTGAAATAAAGTACAAACAGTAATCAGGAAAATAAACTTTAAAATGAAGGAACAGACAAGGCATATGGATTGTTAAGTGTTGCATTTATATCATTCAGAATCAGTTGTGTATATTTCTCAGCGGCAAAAGGCATGGGGAGTTATAAGTGTACGTAACCTCTTTAGGTTTCATGCAGACAACGAAAAATATGTACTCTTGTAAAAATGCAAGTTCTGATTCAGGAGCTGTGGGTGGGGCCTGTATTTCCACATCTTTAACAAGCTCACCTGTTTTTTTTAGTATACTTTAGTGATTATGCTATTACACTTATCCCCTATTTTTCTCCCCTTTCTCCCCCTCTGCCCCGCAACCCTCCTCCCTCCAGAATTCCCCCAATTAGCTCATGACCACGGGTTGTACAAGTTCTATGACGTCTCCATTTCCTAACTCTTCTTAACGTACCCCCGTCTATTTTGTACCTACCAATCATGCCTCTTATTCCCTGTACCTTTGTCTCTGTTCTCCGCTCACCCCCTCCCCACTGATAACACTCCACATCATCTCCATTTCTGTGATCCTGTCCCTGTTCCTGGTTTGCTCAGTTCGTTTTACTTTTCGCTTTTTTCTTTTCTTCAGTTGTTGATGGTTGTGAGTTTGTGGTCGTTTTACTGTTCATAGTCAAAGATCTTTTTCTTTTTTCTTTTAGTTAAGTCCCTTTAACATTTCATATAATAAGAGCTTGGTCATGATGAACTCCTTTAATTTGACCGTATCTGGAAAGCACTTTATCTGCCCTACCACTCTAAATGATAGCTTTTCTGGGTACAGCATTCTTAGATGTAGGTCCTTGCTTTTCATGACTTTGAATATTTCTCTCCAGCCCCTTCTTGCCTGTAAGGTGTTTTTGGAGAATCAGCTGACCTCATGGATGTTCCCTGCTGTGTTTGTAACTGAGAAGAATGAAAACATCTTAAGAGAGTAAGACGACAAAATAACTCAGCTAGCTGATAAAATGTCATGCACAGAGACGGACATACTTGTACATATGGAAACTAGGTACAAATGAAAAGTGAGAGAACACAGAATTTCCACATCAATATAATCAAGGGTACTTCGTGATTCTGTAAGTCTCCTGACTCTCCTGTGGAAGACACTCTTCATGTTTTACAAACACAATAAAGGGAAATACACACATAACAATAAAAATATTGAGATGAATTAAACATGCGTTTATAATATGATTCTTGTCAAATTTCCTGAAAATACAAAAAGTGACACTGTAGAGTATGTCTGTGACATGAGTGTGCACTATAATAAAAATTTACAGGAACAAGCCCTCACTGATTAAATCCTCCAAGTAAAAAGCCAATGCTCTCTAGGAAATAAACATAGGGCCTTCATTTTCCAAAGAAAACAGAAATGAAAAAGACAACAAAAGTTTCCAGATGCAATGTGGTAGCTTGTTCACATCTCTCAATAACGCCCTGCTAGATCCTTGTTAATGGTAAAGGAAGACTATTAACTCTACACTGAAGAGAACACTTCAGCCAACTGAATATCAGGTGGACTGGAACAACTGACACGTGGTGACTGAGGCACACAGAAGGACATGTCCTTATTGGTGTGACATTACTGGCTGATTACATAAATAAGAAAATCATTATGTGAAAATAATCATACGAGCACACATTAGTTTTTCCCAGTGTCTATCAACATGTACCTCTCATGGTGAGCACACTAATTGTGTATCTCAATAGCAACACTTTCTTACCAATTTAACAAGAAAGTCTCTTCTACTAACTATTCTTTTTCATAACATTCAGAACTATTCCCACCGGTATCATTTGCATTTTCGTACCCCTGATGAACAAGTGACATGCTGCAGCCACATGAACCGAAACCTGTATTTCACTTCTACACAGACATCTCTGAGCCCATCCAAACAGGGATGTCGGACATGGCTGCATGGGTGCATGGGTCCTGGCTGATCTGTTACAGAAGGGATGTGTTCAGTGGTCAAAGGTCAGTAATTTAAGGCAGCAATTCTTCACCCTGGGCGGCCTACGTAAAGCTAATGCGGAGAAGGCTCTGGGACAAAGGAGAAAAGTATTGTATATAAACTGCTGACCTTGACAATCAGAGAGAAAAGGAAAAGAGAAATAAGTAGATAAAAACAACCTTCCTATCCAAGAACATCAAAGAGATAAAGGTTGCTGGATCGTAATCCAATCACACTAGCAGGAAAAGCAAACACAGCCTCCTACCCAGGACACATCGTTTACCTGAGAGGCTGCCATGTCGTCCTGGTTCTGCTCCTCCTCTGGGTTCTTTTCTCAGGGGACGAGATGCTGAGGAATCAAGTCTGCATTTTGAGAAGGTGCCTTCCAAGGCCTTGGCTCAGCCCTTCTATCTAAGCCCACCACAATCGCTGGCAGAAGGACCTGGAAATGAGAAAGGCCCACCCTCTCCTTTCCCGAGTCGCAGGGAATCAGGACAATGACTTCCTACATGGAGGCCACACTGAGGTTTTGCTTTGTCTTCATGTGCTCTCTCCTCCGACAGAGGCCCACAAACTCCTACAGCAATAAGAACGTGCGCTGCTCTCCTGAACCCCAGACCCAACACAGCATTCTCTTATCTCCCCTGAACAAAGCCTGCTCCCCGCTCTCACAGATGCATTCGGGAGCCCTCCCGCTAAACACCGGGCTCACCTGAGCATCACCTGGAGCAAGTCATTAAACAACGATGCCCCACCCAGAGAAGCTGACTAACTGCAGGGGAGCACACAGCTGCTGTCCTTCTCAGATCTGCTCAAATCAGCTAGTAACACCCCGAAGCGGTCCCGTTTAGCTTTAATAAGCACGCAGAACCCTCTGGGAGCAAGGCTCCCTCGGCATTCCTAAATCGCCTTTCTGTCACTACACTCGCTTTCCCAACTCCCCTCCTCCAAACTACTCTCTCTGTGACGTGCGTCTTCACCCCAGCCAGCAGTTTGGGCTCCGTAGGCCGAGTATGGCGACGCCCGCGAACTGCGGGCTCCACCCGAGATGTGACTTTAAAGGGCGCAGGGTAGGCCTGCTGCCCAGGCAACGGCTCTCAGCAGAAAATCCACGCGGCAGGCGGTGTTCCCCAAAAGGAAGGTGGACAAACCTCGGGCCGGGCGGCCGCAGGGTTTCCGCGAAAATGGACCCTCCGCCCGGCAGCGAACCGGTCAGGGTTTGGGGGCGTCTCACCTGCCTTCCGCACTCACCGCTGCGGCAGGGGCCGCAGCGAGAATCTCAACCCCAGTAGCGACCCTCGGGCTTCACGTGCGCAGGGTTCCGAACTGAGAGGATCAGTCTGGAACCGGACTGCCCCAAAGAGATCCGCAGAACGGTCACGGCTCTGTGACTACCTCCGGCAGTCTCCCAGGCGCATGCGCACTTCATCAAAACACACGGGGGTGGGAGACGGAGCGGAGCACTTCCGGCGATGGGCGGCGCCTGAATAATAGGCCTGGTGAAGGCGGAGGCCTGGGGAGGTTCCCGGAGGAGACGACTGGAGGTTGGGGCTGGTATTCCCTTTTACGTATTTCTCACTGGTTATATTTTTTCGTCGATCATTGCGTTTGACTCAGGAACCGTTTTGTACGACTTCAACGTGATTACAAATTTTGTGAAAAATGTGTCAAAAATTCATGTTAGAATGATCGTCCTAAAATTAAATTTTCAGTGAAATCTTTGACACGTTATAGTTCTGAAACTTCTCTTACGTTTACATTTACTGGTCTTTAGTACGGTATAACTCTCAATTAAGTATCACCGAATCTATTAATACCCAGCTAGTGTCCCCAAAATTGCTTGGTTTTCTGTGCATGATGTTGAAGTTTCTCCTTGTAAAGGGATGAAGTGCAGAGTAACTCCTTCGGTTCTGAGGCTTTCTGAGGTGCTGACACCCTGGTGGAAGAGGCCAACATGCATGAGGTCATTTAGAAATATTTCGTCATCATAAACCAGTTAAAAATTTCAAAATGCTGTTAATGAGAAGATATAGTTCATGGAGGACAGTTAGGCAGTGAGATGCAATATATTTCTAAATGAATTAAAAAGAAATTCTGAATAACTAGTTGTTCTGACTAGTTATTCTGAAGCTATGATTGATTAGCTCAGCCGGGTAGAGTCCTCTTGGTACACGAAGGAAGCAGGTTTTATCCCTGGTCATGTAACGGGGTACAGCCAAGACCCCCAAAGGGCATTTGTAACGGGGTCCAGAAATTGGGGCGTCCAAGGAAAATATATTCTCCCCACCCCAAGCCAGGCCCCCATGGGGGATGGGAGATCTGGAGCAAGGCCCTTTTGAGAGTCATTCTGCATGTCAATAACAGGATAGCTTCATTCCTCATATGGAAAGAGGGTTATTTTACATTGCAACAAGGCTAACCAGGAAGGTCTGAAAAACTTATAATGCAGAATGTAACTGGGAGAGGAAGAAGGAGAGACAGGGGCCTACGGGAGGGGCAAAGGGACACAGACTCTGGGGAGCAATGGGAAGACCACGCGGGAAGAAAGAGGTGAGAAAGGACTCTTGTTAGTGGACCATGAGAAGGTGCAACATGGTTTTGATTAAGCACCGGAGATGGCAACGACACAGCGGATGGTGGGGAGCATGGCGAGAGGCCTGCCTGGCTGAGCCCCAGATTTCTGTTCTTTGTCTTCTGAACGCCGGTACCCCTGACTAGCCTGACTGGCCTGACTGGGCAAAGCGGGGAAGGCAAGACACTGCGTGTTGGTGGATGTTTTAAATGGTGGGTGTTTTAAGGGATTTTGAGATTTAAGGGCGACCTTTAGCCATTAATCGAGCCTGCATAGCTTTTGAAGAAACGGTTCCTTTCCTTTTCACCAAACTCTGCCATTGAGAGCCATAATTCCAAGGGTGGCGGGCAAAGGACCTACAACCGCGGGGGCCCCGGGGAAGGGGGGTCGTTGTTTCGGTAATAGCATCTGCGCACCCCCTTCCCCCATGGGTGTATTGTTCGGTAACAGTCGGGGCATACATAAGAATCAACCACTGAATGCATAAATGAGTGGAACGGCAAGTTGATGTTTATCTGTTTCTTAAAATCAGATACAAATCAAGCATAAATAAGTGGGACAACAGAACAATGTTTTTCCCTCTCCCTATCCGCTCTTAAAAAGTTAATAAATAAAATTAAGAAAATAAAAAATGGTATTCAAATGGATAGAAAATTTAAAAGAGAAGAAATAAATGTAATGTAATAAAGAGAGGATTCTTGAAATTGAGACTTCATAGGTGGAACAATTACTGGAGACAAAGTGCTCCCATAGGTGGCCTTGCAATTTGGGAGGTTCAGATGGGTAAGAAGAAAGAGAAAATGTTACTAAAAATGGAAACAAAAAGTACAAAAAAATTTTTCACTGAAAAATTGCCAGTGGTGGTAAAACATGTTCCCAAATTCTCATTGGCTTACCACAACAATACTTCATTTCTCCTCACACAATATATACCTTCAGCCTAAGTCAAGCTTAATATCAATGGGGAGAGATATGCGATCACACAGGACGTTGATAATGTAACCCATACTCAATATATGGTACTGCAGCTTCCATCAGAATGTGGTCCTGCTCCTGTTTACACAAAACACATTTACTCTTTCTTATTCCAATAAAATTAATTCTTTTATTTCATGCCCTACGTTAGGAAGATTCATATTAGACAGACAGGTAAATTATCAGCCACCTAATCCTCATCCTTTAGGAAAAACAGCTTCTTACAAACCGTTGAATATGCAAAAGCAGAAACTCTTCCCATGTGTTTTTTCCCCACCGCTGGGTTGGATGAGAGACCGGACAGGATAGGACTCCCGGGGAGAATGCACCTCCTGCACTCTTCCAACTCGGGAGAGCACGAAGTATTGAGCTGGGCCCTGGAAAATGCCATGTCTGGCAGTGAGGACCTTTTCCTTGTCTGTTTGAAAGAAATGTTATAACACTGTCATGTGCCCATAACAGGTGAAGGAACTAACATCAAAACCAGAGGCCAGCTTTATTCAAAACATCAGTCCACCTGCATCTGTCCCAGCTGAAGCTGTGAGAAAAAAAATACATGTACTTCTCACCCTCCAAAAAAGTTTTTCGAAAGTCCTTCCTACACATGGTGACACTCACAAATGACGATAAGCACCCGATGAGACTCCTCTGATTCAAAGCCTTACGTAGGGTCCTCCTCCCATAACTCGTTCTGGCGGAATACATCAATAACAAACACCTCTCTCCCATTTCCCACTTAGTGAAGAAAGAGTTGACACCCAGATGACTCTGGTCCACACCGAATGTGCAGTTTTGCTGGCCAGAATGTAGTTCAGGGACTCATTGCTGGGGGCCAGAGGAAGGGATGATCCTTTTCTTGACTCCAGTTGTCCTCAGAAGAAACATGTAGCCCTCCTGTTTCCTTGTTCCTGACTGTACCTAGACACATCCAACACAGTACTAGAAACTATGCCTTCCTTGTGAAATAAGCAGCTTTCCCCAGCGTCTTTCTTCCAATACGTATTTATAGTTTCAATGATTAGTGTGAGTTTATCAGGTTACAGTGAATTTTACAATGCAAGTTTGTGGAACTGTAAACAATACAACAGCGTATTACTTTGTAAAAATAGCACTCCACTCCTTTTGTTACCTACACCCACCATTTTTAGCAATACGTGTCTGGCTTTTTGGGTTCCTTCCAGGGTCCTTGTGCTTCTCAGTCCTCCCTAGAAGAACAAGGATAGTTTCTGTGCACTAATACATTGTGTGCATAAGAAGGGATTTCACCGGAGCCATGTCAGTCAACTGGACTCCTACTTCAAAGGGCCTGAGGGCCATGTCCTTCATTTAGACGGTGCCAGGGTTTTCAGTTTTAACTTCAAGTGGACCCTCAGGTTATCTCCTAATGTTACGTTTTAGGACTCAGGGATGAGTCACAGGTAACACTCTTTAAGTCCTGCCTGCAAATCAGCTCCTTCACTTTCAAAGTCAGGACTGTTAAAATATGGTGTTACATGCAGAGGAAAATTTGAAGTCACCTATAGAAGAAACACAGTTATTATTTTGGGATGGGAACAAATTCTAGGTGGAGGACATAGGGTGTCAGTCGCCACGGTAACAGAACTGCAAACCTCACTTTCCCTGCTAAATGTGCTGGCTCTGAATATGAATACCAGTCAGGAAGAAATGGCCCAAGAGCCTGCAGGCATCTGGCGAGGGAGACTGTCTCCTTGTTTAAAAACACACCGGCAATCTTGGGATCTCTTTTCTTCAGCACTCTATTTACCTTTACCTTTCTGTGTGCTGCTTGACCTCCACACACTTGATTCCCGAGCACACGGCCCAAGCCAACTCACACACCAAGTGTCTTCTGTGCACACCTGTGCCACTCCAGTTCTTTTCACTGACCCAAAGGCCTACGGCAACTCTTTTACTTCATATTCATAGAGCACTTGCTTTGTCCCTGTCTTTGTTCTATGTACATTTCATGTCAAAAGAAGTGCTAAGAAAAATACATTAAATAAAAAAGAAATTTTGCTACACTTCTAC